ATGCTTCGCTGTCGCGCGAAGTTTGAATAATGAAACGAAGCTCCACCGTCTCGAAACTTTCCCAATTTTTTTCAAACAGCAACAGAAGGAAACGTGACGTTCGATGGAATTCGACGTGCGAATAAGAATTTCGCAGACAATTGTGCAACGGAGTCGCTTTCAATTTCTTTCGATTCCAAGTAGCTGTTGCTTCGAGAAGAGCAAAGATCGATGACGTGTTGTTTGAATGTGCCAAAGGGATGTATCTCCTCAGAGAGAGAAATTCTCTCTGTTTCGCGAAAGATCTGTCTAACCTCTGAAACAGGACTACAGGCGGTCCTCGACTCTAATTGATTCCTGAAATGTGCACGAAAGCATTGAAATGTAAAAAAGTTGAAAGCAGAGCAACGTGGAGAGAAAGAAACATCAAAAAGTGTTTTTGAAATATTTACTTTTTAACGAGGTGTATTAGCATATAAATAAACAACACTCTATTAATTAGCAACTGGTGTTTTTATAATCTTTACAAATTTATTAAGAGATGATCGAATTCTAGTCTTCTTTCTCTTTTTTGAGTTTCCCTACAGCAAGGAAGTGCGACAAGAATCTAACTTTTAAATACAGTACGAAACATGCATGAAATAGTGAATTATAATTAACGAAAGCAGAATGTGCAAAAGTGCGAAAAGGACAGCCTGTGCTTTGTCAAATGTTCTTCAACGTTTCACGACACGATAGAGAAAACAGAAGACTCTTTAAACAGCAAAAAATCTCGAATAAAGTCATAAAACCTGACACACACAAACAAACTGGAATTCACGCGAATCTCGGTTTCTCCAGATTTCCCGAACGACACAGATCACAATTTTCCAAATTGCGTGTCGTTCGTTTGGACTCTGTTTGTACTCTTCGCGGCAAGATCGATGAGATGGCCAGCAAACTCGGCGTATTTGATTCCACGTGTATATTGAACTACGTTCATCAGTCATACTAGCTTCCTCAGAGTTTAGCCACCTAGCTCTCCCCCTTCATGCGGAGGTCTCGTTTGCTAGGAGTTTCTCCCAGCTTATGAAAATGGCCGGCAGCTTTCTGGGAGCAAGCTACTCGCGAGAAGTTTACAACGACGAGTTTGTTACACTTCGCTCGACTCGGTGTCGCACTTGCTCTCCGTGTTTCCCTTCCGTTTTTCCGCAACGGCGCGTGCATTACGCGCGATCTTTGCCTCGCGTTTGTCGCGTCGTTAACGCGCCGGAATTCGAGCCCGAGACGAAACTCGGTCGGCGATTGTCTTCTTCTCTTGCGGTCGCTCGCGATATTAGGAATGAAGATGGCAATGATCTTGGAACGAGCTGCAACTTTGCAGGAAATTTCTTTTTTTGTTTCAAGTCGACATCGAGGTCGTTAGCGACTATTATTAGGTACTTGTATTTTGTAATGTAGATTTATATGTAGCAGATTATCAGTAGAATTGATCCTATGGAATCTTCTTTGCCACTCAGTTTGTACATTCGTATAGAATATATATCGAGTTGTGACAAATTTTTGTAGATGGTAGAGTCAGCCCTCTCGATTAGGTATTCATGAATAATTCTTTCTTTTTCCTGGACCTTCGTCCGATTTCATGTTGTCCATAATCGGTTCCATTCACCTTTGACGTTGATTTTTCCACGATGTGCAAATGCTTGATATGTGACTCACTTGCAATTAGTGACAGAGTCAATGCTTCTTTGGCATTTCAAATCTTCTTCATTTCGTTTTCAACAATGCCTCGACGAAAGAGTATCCAGGCTATTACATTTCTGTTCAGGTTGGAAAGTTCAGTGTAAAATGTAGAAATGTTTTTGACAATGTCATTGTATTTGGTAAGGCTTTGGCTATACTCATAGAATATAATTATTTTATTCGTATAGGTGTTCGTTTGTTTGTTGAATATTCTTCAGAGCATCAGTAGTGTTTGAATTTTTGATTTCGCAGAAAATTCGCTTTTCAATGAATATTTTCCGGATGTTTAGCGGACGATGTCTGACGATAGTTGACCTATCGGCTTTCACGTTGCACGCGAATGAGACGGGATTACAGGCCAACGATACGATATATTTGTTGCTGTAATGTACGTGTAATGTCACGCGTCAATAACAAATTGACATTTGCAACTCGGTTGGAAACTTGAACGGAAGCGCAGGATAACAACTGTCCGTTTCTATTCCATTCGATGTTCGAAGTATATTCGAAGTTCGAGATGTAGGTTGGCAAACTTCAAGTAGCGAGAGCTGAAATTCCAACAGTCTGGGGCGCAAGCTTCAAAATTTGAATTTGATGGCTAACAGGCTGACCATAGGGAAAACGTCGGGGAAACGAATCTCTTTTTCGAAAGTGCTCGAAGAATTTTACTCGCCCCCGCGTGATAAAAAGTGGCTTCGTAAAATATTAGAGATAACTAGGATATCAGGGGTGATTCCTTTGCAGAGGAAATGGTTGTTGATGATGGTTCAAAAACCATTTTTGCATCACGTTGCTAGATTGCAAATTGTTTATAAAAATAATTGACGTTCCAGAGAAAATTCCAATAGAATTCGTCTAAACGTTAGAACTTAAATTTCAGTTTTTGTCTTTGGAGAAATTTATTCTTGAATTATTTCTTTTTTTTTTACAATCAACCCCCTTGTGTCATTAACGACTTGGAAGAACTAAATCTTACAATTTATTATAAACGTTTAGACTGTCCTGAAAAGTGTTGTTATTAATTTTAGAATCGCTTCTTTACCCTTCAGGTTGTCAGTCAGAGGATTTGTGTTTAGTTGATGTCTATTGCACAAATCACAAATTGAGGGAATACTGGCGAATGTTTGTATTTTTATGAATCCTGTTATGATCCTTGAGATTGATTACGAGTTCATTTTTAACTGTTGCTAGCCACGATCTACATGAGGATTTCCATTTGTTGTTCCAGTTTCCTTTGACTTTTTGTTTTAAGCTAAGAGGTCTAGATTCCAGAGCTGTTGGTGTAACGATCGAGGGTCGGCGAGTTGGCTGCTTCTTTAGCCGCTTTATCGGCGTTTTCATTTCCGATTATGCTAGCGTGGGAAGTAAAGTTTTTCGTTTTGTCAAACGAGTGACTATACACGACATCGGTATACGGCAGAGTATTAAAAAATTGAAGTCTCCCTTTTTTCAAGAATTTATTTCTCTAAGATGCTTCAATTTCACCTTGACATCCTTCACGTTCTCGAAATCTGTCCCGTATTGAACTACCCTATTGTTCATTATTAGATCAGATATTCGACGTCAAATTCAAACTCAAGGTTAACCGTGTCATTCAATATGCTAGATATTATCGTATGGAACAAAAACAAAGGTATCCAATATGAATTATAAAAAGAGAACTTCATCAATTTCTCGGCCGCGTGACATAACATACTCTCGTTAAGAAGTTAGCTCACGAATATTCCGACTTCATTTAATTTCGTACATTCCCGTTTCACGTCTGCGTCGCAATGGTTTTCCGCGCGGTGCTGTTTGACTTGCTGGAAAATCCAAGGAAAATGCATGTAGAGGCTGAAAAGACAAGTGAAAAGTTCTATTCGTGACTTTTCGTTGGGTGTTCCTTTCGGGGGCGACCCCGATTCGGTTTCCTAGTTGCCGGAGTTTCTTCAGCTTATGAAAATGGCTGACAGCTTTCCGACGCGGGTTACTTGTCGCCAAAACTTTTGCAAGTTCTCCCTCGCGCTGGTTATAGACTCCTTCGTTTTTCCTTCCCTTCCCTTGTCATTCTCTCTCTTCTTCTCTCTGTCTCTCTTTTCCCCTTCCCCCCCCCCTGCGTGAAATTTCCAAACTCCCCTTGCCAGAAGAATAATTTTACGTTCCTAAAAGTCCGGAACTAGCGCATTGTTTGACCGAGCAAAACTGTATAAGAGAGAAAGAGAGAGGAAATGTGCCCGACTGTGTCATATAGGATTTTACCATACTTTTAATGGAAACGTCTCAGTCAACGAGCCGAATGAATTGGAATATCACGTTTGGAAGTTTTGATACGCGAAACTTGCCAAATTTGAGAGAAAGAAGCTACCATAACGAACAGAAGTATCAGTGCACACTCGTTCGAAAGTGTTCCAAATGTCGTCGAAAAATTCTCAATCAAAGATCTCCGACCGTAGCCAGCTCCAGAATTATAACAATTGTCAGTATTTCTTGAATATCTTTCCAAACAATATAAAGGAAAAAAGAAGAAAAATTTACGCGATTCAATCGTCGATCGCGAATGCCTTTTCGACGCGAATGTTAACCGCTCTATCCTCGACTTTTAATCGTGAAAAATTTCATTGTTTTTCCACGGTTGGTAAATTTGCATTCAAGATACGCGGGACCATTGTTTGCCGTGTAATCGAAACGAGCAAATGGAATATTTCCGTTGAAATTTCAGTCTCGTAGTTGCGAGATCGTATTTTTATACTATTTTAGTCGTTAACTCGAAACGAGAGAACGCAGCAGAGAGAAAGAGAGAGAGAGAGAGAGTGTGTGTGTGTATGTGTATGTGAGAGAGAGAGCGGAAAGCGACGGGGTGAAATTTGCATGAAGACAATTTCATCGATTAGCTAGCCGCCGATAAGCAAACATTTTTCCCAACGGTCGGTAAAAGCCGGGACAGTGTGAAACTGTGTTACCAAGTCGGAGCCAATAATTACTTTCCTCTTGAATGATACTGCTCCAGAGAAATCGAGCAATTAATACTAGCCTCCTTTGTCCCCTTGAGTTTCCTCGGAGAGCAAACTTCCTGTCCGGTTCTGTCGTTTCTGTTGCATCCATTGTTACTCGCAGTTGGTACTCGCTCGATTCTAGCAATCTAATTATCAGTGGAACAAGTAGCAAGCGTCTTAAACTTGACAATCTGTTTTGTTACTGATTATTTGACTGTTATTCCGAGCGCGCCGAGTTCCCTCAAAATTATTCATTTCCATCGCACCTGCCAACTTCGCGAGATAAATTTGTACAAACTTCCATTCCACCTCGTTTATGAACCGTTCCATTTTGGATTTCAGTAAATTCAGTCTTTCTTCGTCCCGTGTGATTAGCGTAACTCTCTCGCAAATCCATTGACACGTTCGTTGTTACTAGACGCGTGACACTTTGGATTTGATTAACAAACTTTTTACTCACTTGTAGAAAATGTGTTGAGTGCGCGTAATGTAAAAATGCGTGTAAAAAGAATTCAAGGCGTAGCGCTTTCCGTGATATTTGGTAAAAAAAGAATTTTCTCTCGAGACCGTATGCCATTCCTTTTTCTCGGAATTTCGTTCTCGAATTTGCTTCGAAGATCCTCGGTTCTTTTAAAATATTTTTCTTTCAAATCCCCCGCGGGGATATTATTATTATTATTATCATTATCATTGCGTTTCCACTGGGAAGTTCCTTAACGAATTGTTAAAACACGAATGCAACTAAACAAACAACAAAATTCAAGCTCCATTTCGCGAGGTCCAATTTCTCGCGTGTTGCAAAGTACTGGGAGTTATAAATCTTTCGAAATCCGTGACAATGCATTGTACGTACGTTCCCAGGGCGTAAGTCTCGGCCTTTTTCTGTTTCTCAGTGCTATGAAGCTGCATCTTTTATTTCTATAGCAACCTTAGGGGATCGTGCCTAATAAATATTGCCCGAACCATTACGTACACCTTGTGATCTTCCGTGTTGCAATTTTCCTCGAGACTCTTTCTTCAGTCATTTTTACCAAGTTTCCGTTGCATTTTGCATTTTCCACGCGGTACTTGCGTCAGTTGAGTCGGACAAACGTTGAATCCCTTAGGATTTGCCTCGTGAAAAATTTCGGTGTAATTTGACAAAAAAAAATTTGGAGCAGTCGAACGTGGTGCAATTGTCTTTATCGCATTTTTTTTTTTTTTCATGTTTCTAAAAAGTAATGGAACATTTTTTTTTTGTACGAACGTTGTCGTTTTTTTTTTTTTTTTTTTTTGTTTCAAACGAAATACCGCAATTCGTTCATTCACCACGTGATTTATTCCGATGAATTTTCTATCGGAGTAAATGTACGATCAATTGTTATTTTTATTACAATAACATTTTCCATCGACTGGCAGAATTAGATTCACCTGGGAAATGTCACATGTTTTTAGAATAGTCGGCTACACAAACTGTTCAGCGAAAATTCGAGTGCTTTCAGAAAAATTTTATTTCGTTCCGGCCACTGTCCGAATAAACTTGGTTCGTACTAATGTTCCGACATTTCGAGCTTTGATCTATGACTGTAATAATTTCAATTCCTCTTATAAACCTCGGTTCCTCTTCACAGGTCTTTCTCTTTAATATTTTAAGGTTTTTTAGAGCCTTGGTGAAACGTCAAATGTTTCGGACAAAGCGATTGCGCGCAAAGCGATTTCGTTCGCTCAGATATCACGCGATTAGCAGGTGAAAAAAAAAGGGAAGAAAAAAAAAAGAAAAAGAAAGGAAGAAACCGCGTTGAACAGGAACGGGAGAAAATTCGCCCGGTTCCAGAAAACTAATAAAATCCAATCGTTGTTTCCGATTCTCGGTCTTTTCAATGAAACGCAAGGCCGGGACTTTCCAGGCCGATGGTTTGCAATTAAAAACTGATGGTGAATTGAAGTTTGAAAGCTCACCTTTGACGGAGGTAACCAAAGTTAAATGTTGAGCATTCATCTCGGCGAGCCGGCGGATCACGTCGATCTGTTCCAAGGAAAGTTGAACCGCATTCAACTGTGCCGCACCGCATGGAACGTAGGCAGACCAAAACTGAAAGCAAGTGGAGCAAATGTTGCGAATAGTTTTACGACTTTATTTCCATAGGAGACTACCGAGAATGAAAACACCCGTTTCAACTTTCAACTTTCAACTTTCTTTTTTCCCCCTCTCCTCGGACATAAAAACGCGATTGCGATTTTTCTGCCGTCTCTGTTTCGCGATCGAGATATCGAGGTCAGAAGTGGATTGATCCAAACGCTCGTCGCTTAAAGCGGATGCGAGCACAAGCTGTTCACGATTGCCTGAGATTGATTTAAAAAAAAGAAAAAGATTTGTTTCCTAATAAATATGAATTTCACAGTAAATATGACGGACGCAGCTTATTATAATAAACTGGCTGATTCAAAAGAGAAATATTATGAATTCGACGACGAACGCAGCTCATTGAAATAATAAATTAAGGCGACGCTCATTCGGTATTCTGTACGAATTTTCAAATTCCGCGCCACGTGTGCCCACTTTGTATTTGTGCGCGAATTTTCTGGGAATGGTATTTTCCACATTCACACGAAGTATTTAACGCCTGTCGCGTTTGAACAAAGAGGGGATCAAAGAGTCTGACAGAATGAGCGTGTCGACACGGATTGTTTATATTCATGGTGCATTCGCGTGCTTTCAGTGTTCGCGCGCTGTTAGTTAATCACCGATTGTAGCGTCATAATACGTTCATAATCATAACACTTGAGAACACTTAGCACTGGACGATAGACATTTAATTAACACTTCTCACCGCACGAGCCGAATTACACTCGCGTGCACGCGCCAAGTGCCCTCCCCTACTTTGCAAATTATTGCGCGCCGATGGTTGATCAGCTCGCGCGTTAACGATAATCCCCTTTCACGCCCGACAACGAAGATAAAAATCGAGATTACGTTATCGCGAAATTTAATGGTAATTTCAACGACACATTCTACACCGAAAATATAACGCACGATAAGGATAGAAGAAAGGATAGCGATAAGAATGGAAGAAAGTAGTGCCTGTTGAGAAAATTAACTCTCAGCTTTTAGAAAGCTTGTGTGTATTTATGTTGCGTCGCTGGAACGATTATACTCGTCAAACACAGAGTACGTGTAGCTGCTGTAAAATTCCATTAAATTACAGGGAAATACCACTAGCATTTTTCAACAAATTTCATTGTTCAACTTGACTAATATTAACAAGCAATAATTATAACACGTTGATAGAAAGAGAATATTTAGACACGTCTAGTTTCGAAATATTCTGATATGTCCAAAATTTGCAAATATATTTTACTCTTCATGCAAAAAATTTAATTACTTTTCTCGTCATTCGCAGTTAAGAGATTATTAAAGTTACCAATATTCGCGCGCGATGGAAGTTCTCGAAAAGGAATTTTAAAGACGATGGTACGTCGTAGCTCGAGGAAAATGATCCAAAAAAAAAAAAAAAAAAGACGATTTGTCGAAGTTGCGGGATAGCTAAACGTTATGAACTACGGTTTCACACGAGAGTAAAAAGTTGCGGGCGAAAGAGGCGGTTTTCGAGGCCGTGAAGGAGAAAGGGACGACGGGACAAAGAGCAATGAGGCGCGTCCCTACATTTCATTTAGGTTCCGCTTTGAGAAGCAACGTTACCAATTACTCGGCGGTCTGATTACCATGGAGTTTCTCTGCCAATGTAAATATTGAATTTCGGCCCTCGTCTAACCCGATTGGCATCCTCGATTCTCACGGTGCAGCTGGCGTGACATGAACGTTGTTATAGTAATCGCTCGCCGCGTGAAACATATCGTACGGGTCTGGCGTCGCGAAATTTTATGGGGGAGGGGGAGAGAAAAAAGAGGAAACAAATAGCTTTTTCGAACAAAGTTCGAGCTCGGATCGGTTGCACTTTTTTCTTAATTCTCCCGTGACTTGATTCTCGAGCAGACCGGCGTGACAGAGGAAATGAGGATTTTCAGTTTTTGCGAGAAGAGGGTGAAAGAGGCTTTAATAACTGGAACCAAGGCGACAAGTTTCCACCAAGGGCATTCAAGTGAAAGAAACAGAAAAACTTTGACAAGGGTAAATTTAAATCTCTAAGAGTACACTGTTTCACGCCACATTGTGAAATTTTTGTCAAAAATCATAAATTGATCAAATAAGTGTAAGTTTGGCAGTTGCTGTGTTAATTATCTGCAAAGTATCTAAATCTCGAAATCTTTCGATGGAAATCAAAATGGATATCCAATTCGACGAATACACATACTTCGTCAATTTAAATTCTAAACGAATTCGTTGCGAAAGAGTGGCAAATAATTATTCGTCACATTTTCACGATACAGCTTGATGCTTTAATCGCAGTGATTTCGTTGATATTTTAACAAAATTTACGAGCAAATACTTGCGACCTCTGTATCGCGTTGCGTAAAAATATTATTCTTCCGCGACGCGTGACGCGATTGTAGATCGATCGTGATTGCAACGTTAATGCAGCTTTCAGTGGGGATGCGATTTAAACGCGCAGCGAAAGCAGGGAGTGGACAGGGATGATAATAACAAAAGGTAGATAATGAGAAGATGGAAGCAGCAAACACAGGTTACACGTTTCACCTGAGCTTACACTCTCTGCGCTGGGTAATTTAAATCGGTTTCGCGGAATTATTTAAATCTGCTAGATTTTAATGAGAATACCTTGGTCACGGCGCTTCTTTTAAAGATGCCAGTTTATTAATTAGCCGTTAATAAATTAACAGGTTTTTTTTCCCCGTACGAAACGGAATACTGTCGATGCAAAAGTAAGGGAAATGACGTCTCCATCTCGAGTTGGAGGGGAGGAAGAAGAACGGGGGATTAAATATGACGCGAGACGACGTTTCACGGTTGGCTTTTTGCACCTCGCGGCGGCGGCGGTGGCGGTGGCGGCCAGAGAAAATAATTGAGTTGTTGTCGCGTTGCTGAAACTTTCACGGTAAATTGGGTGTTTTCCCAACTATGAAATAACAGGATCCAGCTAAAAGACACCGCGCTGCGGATATTCGCCGGGACTGTGGCTGTGTGCTCTTGGCGTACGTCTCGTCGAAAATGAAAAATTTCACCCCGGAATTTGTATATCGCGCGTAAACTGTTTTATGAACGTGTCGCATGAACCGGTTGGCTTCTCTCTCTCTCTCTCTCTCTCTGTGTCTGTTTGTTTGCCGGCACTCGCACGAGCACTCTACACCGACGTGGTGACAATTTTTGTTTGCTCTGACACGGACAGTTGGCACGTAATTCTTCTTGATCATGTTTAATTTAATCAGACTGTTAGATTTCAGAGCGGAACGACGAGTATTTTTCAATGCTCGTGGATTATTCGAGTTATTCTCGGGCGTATTCTCTACGTTAAATTTTTTTACACAAAGCGCGCCGAATTTAATTCAACGCGGCTGATGCGTAGCATAATTTGATTCTACGTTGAACCGATCCTTCGCAATCTGAGGATTTTAATTCGATTTCGAATCCGAGGTGATCAAATATTTTAATAATCCAGCGGTAGATCGCGGATTTACATTCTCGCGAGCGCGGTCCAAGATCCCTTTCGCTCGCTGAATATTCCATCTTCGGGCGTACATCACGTCTTTGCGTACCTAGTTTTGAACTACCAGTTCAATGCTTATCAAGTTTAGCAGGGTTTCTCGCAAGTGTTTGTCCCTCGGTGAAGAACGAGACTGCACGTCGTTTCTCCTGCTCAGTTCCCGTTGCTCAATTGCGAAAGCTCTTCGTGGGACAAAGGTAAATGTAAGATTGAAAGGTCCGACATCGCTAACTGATCGAGTTAATGTCTCGAGCAGCGAGCGAAGCGGGCCTGACGACTCTATCTCGGCTTGGTACCCGAGGCGAGCGCGGCACAAGTAGTAGCGCACGCTAAACGCGCATACACAGCTAGTGGAAATGGCGGTTAATAAGCGGACAGGAGATAAAGCCGTCCGACTGGAAAGGGAGAGAGAGAGAGAGAGAGAGAGAGAGAGAGAGACGTGCGTTCTTCCAGAAGAGGAAGCAGAGATAATGCGGACGACAGATAGCTCGGCTGGCATATTTTATTCAAAACACGAATCCACTGTCTATCTTAAAAAAGAGAGGAGAGAAGAAGAGAAAGAGAGGAAATCAGGGAAAGAAGAGCGTGGGTGAAAGTTTCAAAGGAAAAGTGCTTCCACTTGCTCCCGTCAAATTTTACGTAACGTTACGGGTTTTTCCTAACGTGAAAGGAATATAAAAAGAAAGAAAGAAAGACAACAAACGAGAAATAAAAAAGGAGGAAAATAAAGAGAATAAAAGTACGGGGACGGGTCGTTCGTTCGGTACGGGCGTTTCGTCAAGTGGGAACGTTCGATGGGAAACAATTTGTTCGTTCTCGCGTGGCTTGGAAAGCGCCGCGCTGCAATTAAAATTCTTTTGGTCTTCATTGTGGCCGCGGTAGCCCTCGCCACGTGGAAAGCAATTTCAAACGCCAGCGCGGCACAGTAGAAATGAAAAAATCTTGTTGATTCAATTACCGGTCGAAATCGTTTCCTCGGCCGGGTGTTAATTGAAAGGCCGTGTCTTCTTCGTTCCTCATTTTTAGTCCCAGTTGGTCATCGCTTCTTCCCCAGTATTTTCTCGGTTCTTTATGAAACCTAGTCGAAACCAGGTTCGAAGGTTATTTATCCACGTTTACCTCGTGTCTCGCCCTGTTCTTTCCCAGACAGTGACAAACACCGCTCGTACTCGGTAATACTGAATTAATATTAGCTCGAGAAACGCGTCAGAGTATTACCAAGCGGTAACTTGGAGGAAATTCCCGGTCCCGGTTCAATATTCTTAAGACCATCCTTTCTTCTCCCGACAATAACTAACAATAACTAACGGAATGAAAGGTTTCTCCTTTGACACAGGCGGGTAATAATGCCGGTTATTTACGTTATAACGAAATCCTTTATAGGAAACGGTTTACGAACGACGATGCACCGCCGCAAAGTGTGCGTTTACACGACACTGACGCTCTGCTCGCCTCGTGTCTTATTCTCCCA